GAGTTTTATCTCATATTGTTAACAATAAGAATTATCTCATATTGCTAACAATAAGAATAAAAACATGTGTTTCTGTTTTTGTTGTGTTTGAATTATGTACTAATGGTGTAGTCTTGTTTTCTAAATGGGGATGAACTCATAATGATTTCCTGTTCTCTGCCTAACCAATGTAAATATTTTTCTTTCTGCTTCTATGGAGTCCCTAGCACTATACTATCACTGTTTGAAATTTAATTGTTAAAATTCGTTTGGTCCATAAGGGATCCTTGCATGCTATAATATTGGGAGTGTTTTGACCACAAAGAAATCTACATTGTTTGTGGTGAAATGAAAAGATAATTTTTTTCTGGAAGATGTGATACAGGCTGGAAGCACAAAGAGAATAAAAATGAAATGCGACCAAGTTCATAGTTGTATATGGCAGAGACTCAAAAACACAAGCAGGTTGCTTTTGATGTGATTGGATATTGATTTTCATTATATGCAGAGTATGCAGGAGTGAGGGAATCCCATTTCGTGAAATTGCTCCTTCATGGTCAGAACACGAAATCTGGGAGGAGGCATTCATCACAAGTAACTTTTTTTGTCTTTTCCATCTGTTCTTTTTTTTAATTTTGGTGTTAATGAGGAAGTTCAACTGCTTGAGGTTGGTGTGATTGGTTGTACTATATTTCTTTTACAAATGTGGCCATCTCTTGACTGACTGGCTAATGAAGCCTTTTTGAAAGCTGCCTAACTTCTGCAATTGACCCTGGATCTCAATCAAAATTGGACGGTTCTGATACCTTAAAACCAGAGCATGGTGATCTAAAAAGAAAATTAGTTATTCTATTTTAGTCATAACTATTTTCCTCCTGAAGAAACTATTTTCTCTAGATGCTAGTATCATTGGCTCTGCCTACCTGTTTGGTCATGGGACAATGATGTGGTATAACATCAACGACCAAGCCTTAGTTTCACTAGGTGTGGTTGACTATATGAAGATAGTCTTATCATAATGCTCTATCATAAATCATATTCATTGACAAAACATTGATCTTCAAATCATTATTAATCGTTTCGCCTATGGTTTTTCTTGGTCTCCCTCTACCTCTAAAAATTGGACTAACCTCTATTTGATCTACTCTTATCACTTAAGGCGCAATTTTACCATCTTTTCTATAATAGGAGCTACTCTAACTTTTGGGAGGAATAGATGGCCAACTAAGAGGGGGGGGGGGGGGGGGGGGGGGGTGAATTAGTTGTTTTAAAAAAACACTAGGAACTTTTCAGCTTTTTCTACTTAAGTACAAATTAACAGAGTTGTAGCGGAAGAAAGTTTAGTAGAAGAAGAAGTGCATAAAACAAAAGTGTAAGGATGAGAAAAATCACACCAGAAAATTATACTGGTTCACCTTCTACCACTGAAGGCTACGTCCAGTCCTCTTGAAAAACCACAAGAGATTTCCACTATTGAATGAGTTTAACTTACAAGCAAAGTCACACCTAGACTCCCCCTAAGTTGTATCACTCACTCACTTCAACAAGATAGTACACCACTATCCTTGTTTTACAATGCCTCACCAATCACTATGGTGATTACTTGAGTACAAGTATGAAGATAATAAATGGCTTAATTACAAACTCACAATGTATCTTAATGCCTTATGAAGTTTTTCAGAATTCCAAAGAATATGAAAGTTTTTCTGAAAAACTTCAAAGTGTTCTTGAATAAAAACTAAGAAATTTGTATCAAGAACTTGGATTTTTGAGTATAAAAGTTATGATGTAATTCTGAGATCCTACAAGGTTTATATAGAGTTCCAAAATGTGTTTAGAATCACTTTCAAAAAGTATAAGTCGTTTGGGAAAAGTTGAACCAAGTTGGAACACAATGGTTCAATTTAAAAGTCAGATTTTCGCAGTAACAGTACGTGGTAATCGATTACTTATCTATGGTAATCGATTACCAGTTGAAAAACAACTGATACTGTCAACTCAGTTGAAATTTCAAATCCAAAGTTGCTCAACGGCTAGTGGTAATCGATTACATCCATAGGGTAATCGATTACCCTAGTTGAAATTTCATTTCCCAGAAATGTCGAGAGTTATGGTAATAGATTACTTACCCTGGTAATCGATTACTGAAATTAAATTTTGGATTTAACTTTCAACAGTAAGTGGTAATCGATTACTACTACAGGGTAATCGATTACCCTAGTTATTTTTGCCTTTTTCCAACTTTTCAAAAATAACTTGGTTTTTCTTAGGAACTCTTATATTAACCTAGATTAAGATCTTTATTCTTAAGGCATTGTGATTTCTTATGAGTTTGAAATATATGCTACTAAAAGACTAAGACTCTTATAAAAATAAAATATACTTCAAGTTCTTTAAGTCTTTGATCTTCAATAGCTTTTCTTCTTTCTTTTGGTGATGTGCATTTGTCTTCATCAAAACCCAGCCTCGGTCAAGGAGCCAGATCATCTTCCTAACTTTCTCTATAATCCATTACTTCCTAATCTTATCTTGTCTAGTGTGTCCACACATCCAACAAAACATTCTTATATCTACCGCATTGAGCTTATTCTCTTGATATCATTTTGCCGTCTAACATTCAGTCCTATATAACATTGTAAGTCTTATAGTTTTACAGTAAAATATTTCCCTTAAGCTTGAGTAACACATCTTTATCACATGTGACTCCTTATGCCCTTCGTCATTTCATCCACCCCGCTTGTATCCTATTGCTTACATCTCAATTTCCCTGTTGTGTTGTATAATTGACTTAAAATACTTAAATCTAATGACTATGGTATCATAGTTCAAAATATCAAACCTTTTACAGTAGATGAACAATTGCTTACAATATTTATTCTATACTAACTTACTTAAGACTAAAACTCTCTTTGTCCCCCTTTTTTGTTTTTATTATATTCAAGCATTCATTTGGGACCTAATGGCATTGTAGATAGCTTGAGGCTTGTGCAACATGTGGATAGCATTCAGGTTCCAATAGAATGGCATTCAGCCCATTCTAAAACATGGAAGGATATATCATGGACAAAGAAACAATTTCAGGTGGTAAATCTTCACTGGTTCTGCAATTGTATTACTTTTATTTAGATTTTCTCAAAGTGGGTTGTAACTGCAGGGGGAGCCTGGGATGATCACAACTTTAATCCAGGTAATTCCATTTATTGCTTCTGCATTTTGAATGAAAATGAGAAAGAAAAAACAATTGCTTGGTTTGTGATATTTAAACTTGATTTGTTTAAAGCCTTGATTCAGTCAAGCTTTATTTTGCTTCCTTGTTTCTGAATTATATTTTGCAGCATTGCAATTAGAAAACCAAAATGCCTTTTATTTATTTTAAGTAGGAAAAGATTATGGAGAAAGCAATTCTGGAAGGGTACCCAATAAGTGACATGTGTGCATGATGAAAATCCTACTCTGCATTACTCCTATGCTGCTGAGACGAAGGCCGCATGATTGGTCTTCTCTTTCTCCCCTTCTTCAATTGAGCCATATACATTAACACTACCATACATGGTATTCTTAGCTCAATTGATATTGTTTAGATGATGAATTGATGACAATGTGATAACTTAGGAGATGTCTATTTTATTGCTCTGAACAACTTCATGACGAAGCCAGGCGTCAAATAGATAATAGAGAAAACAAATTCCTTTTTACTGTTGTCTGGCACTGTTTATTTACTCCCTCGTATTTTTTGTGAAGATGAACCTAGGAAAACACGAGATTAGGAAGAAGAAAAAGACATTTAGATATCCGTTATTAAATGGAATATGTAAACTATGCTAATTGAAGAAATCAGATATATAAACTATTACGTTTTTATTTTGTTTGTTCTGTTTTGGACCTACATGATGAGTCCAAATTACTATAGGCATATCATAGCAAAGACACATCTAACTGCTGCATCAGACAATTTAATTATAATAATATTTGTTTTTCGAAATTACTTGTCTTTTGTTCTAATCTACTAGAGCAGTAAATCATATGTGATGGATAACTCATCTCATGTATCTGGTTCCATAAGATCATACAACTCACCCATACTTTTAAGTAACTACCATATTGAGCGATATAAAAATCAGCTAAACAATAAAAACTTGGATAGTGGTAATGCATACTCAATAATTGTTGGGGAAAAAACCAAACTATCAAGTAAAGAGAAGAGAGACAAATTGGTTTGGTTATTTCTACATCTTGGAAGTATTGAATGGGTTCTAATTGGTTTGGTTATAGCAAATGATGCAAGAACTTTGAGGTACTATATATTGGTAGTATGGTACCATGAGAGTCACATCTTTTAACCCAATATATGTATCACTTTATGTGCTTCTTCATTCTCATTGGTTAAGAAAATAAAATATGAATTTAATATATTTTCAGACTAATGAGAATAAAGATATACATAAAGTAGTACATATAAGGGGCAGAGCATGTGCTCCTCATACTACCAACCTTTATGACTTATCTGACACCGGCCTCTGCATGAGCATGATGATAGGCATATGCATATTCTTGCTGCATTAAATCTAATATTCATAACTAACTTAACCAATCATCATTGTGACTCATAAATAGAAGCATAAATAAACAATTGGTAGATATTAAACTCATTAGGTTTGTACTAATTACACCGAACGCATACTCTTTGCACTCTAGTATCTAATAATGGTAATAATTTAATTTTGGCTGTGACAATTACAATACACATTAGTCCTCAAATAATTGCAAAAGAATGCAGAACGTAGTTACTTGAAGTTGAAGGCTACTAGAGCTGGTACTCGCTCCCCCTTATGGTAGGAGTGTGGATCCTCTCGAGTAATGAAGAGTCCGGTATCAATGCTAGATAACATGGGCACCACTCTCCTCCGGCTATCTCTTGTCCTCCACACTGGAAAGCTTGAAATAAGAATGCATATATTTCACTACCATCTACAACACAAGTTCTTGTATAAATATGGTATCCTCATGTTTAATATACTAGATCATTGTTATTGTTAATTGATAAATAATTATTACATATACACAGACACAGTGTAACTTCGTATATGATATGCGAGAATATTAATTAAACCACGTAGATATTTAATTTTGTCTGGTAGAATTTTTGTGATGCAAAGCTAACCTTTTGTTAAATAAATAAGAGCCTAAATATTTGGTTGGACCATGTAGTGCAAGCTGTTGCATCTGAGAGAGTGATTACGGTTTTACAGCTCGTGATGAGATGTAAAGGAGAGTCTGTTTTGTCAGCTTCTGTCTAAAGTGTTATCCTGCATATATGTAAAATGATATATCCTCTTATTAATCAGAAGAAAATAACACATGTTACAAGATGATACTTTATTTATTAATGATTAGTTTATAAATAACATATATTTTTTTTTATGGGTATGAAAATTTAATAGGATAATATAATACTACTGGTCTACCATCACTCTCCTACCTTGTGAAGTGTTTTGCCTTGTTCTACAGGGTAGTTGGTCTCTTTCACAATTAACTCTAACTTTGTCCTTTTTATTTTACTTGATGGGCTTTCCTATGCTCTCTTTCTTCACGGAAAACCAAACAACATTATTAGTTTCTTCTTCTTATTTATTCCTCCTTCTATATATCCATTTACAAAACTACTTTCTTTTTCTCTTTATCCATCATTTCTCTCCCTCACACAATAGCAAGGATAAGCATTTGTCGAGAGCAAACAAACAAAAACAAGAACTAACAGAACATATTATATAAGAAACAAAAAAATGAATGATGCTGCTGCAATTGTTGCGGCATATTACTCTGAGTTCGTGGAAGTTGACTCTAAAGGAAGATATGGAAGAGTACATTCCCTCTCCTTTACTCCTCCTCAGCTTTTTCTTTTTTATACTCTCAACTTTTTTGTTTTGATTCATTCCATGTTTGGCAGTACAACGAAATTCTTGGCAAAGGAGCTTCCAAGACAGTGTATGAATCATTCATTCATGTCCTTAATCTTTTGGTTTGCAGCATACTATAGCCACTTCATACTCTTGTTTAATTAATGGGCTTTCACCAAAATGAGTCTTTGTCTTTTTAAATATAATAATACGAGGTTATATCCATGTGTTGCAGATATAGAGCATTTGATGAGTATGAAGGGATAGAAGTAGCATGGAATCAAGTAAAGCTTTATGATCTTATGCAGAATCCTGAAGAACTAAAGAGGTTATACTGTGAAATTCATCTTCTCAAGACATTGAAACACAAGAAATCATGAAGTTTTATACTTCTTGGGTTGATACTGCAAGCAGGCACATTAACTTTGTTACTGAGCTGTTTACCTCCGGGACTATCAGACAGTAAGCCTTGTCTTTTTTTTTCATTGACATTACAATCTTCCTTTAAGAGGATGAGTTTCTCCGCAATGGTAAGGTTGTTGCTTAATAATCAAAAGGTCACATATTCAAATCCTTGAAAACAGCATCTCTGCGTGTGGGGTAAGGCAACCTCTCTACCGGGGTAAGGGTATGTACATCTACCCTCCTCAGAGGTGGGAGCCTCATGAATTGGGATGCCTTTTTTATTATAATCTTCCCTTCAATACTAAAATATTAAGGTCATTTTAGCTTCTTTTTGTTGCTTTTGGCTTTTAGTGTGGCTATGTTCATAAATCATAATGTTTATTGTCCCTGCAGGTACAGGCTCAAACACAGAAGGGTTAACATCAGAGCTGTTAAGCATTGGTGCAGACAGATTTTGGAAGGGCTTCTCTATCTCCACAGCCATGACCCTCCTGTGATCCATAGAGATCTCAAGTGTGATAATATTTTCATCAATGGCAACCAAGGGGAAGTCAAAATTGGTGATCTTGGCCTAGCTGCAATCCTCCGAAAATCTAATGGTGCTCGCTGTGTTGGTGTGTAGAACAGCATGAAAGCCTTTAATTTTCTTCAAATGATCAATACATTAGTTCTCTATAAGAAAGAATGCTTATTTTTTGTTTGTTTAATTCAGGCACACCTGAGTTTATGGCTCCAGAAGTGTATGAAGAGAATTACAATGAATTGGTTGACATATACTCTTTTGGAATGTGCATTTTGGAGATGGTCACCTTTGAATATCCTTATAGTGGATGCAATCACCCTGCTCAAATCTACAAGAAAGTTGTTTCTGTAAGAAACAGCAAGTTGTTGCCTTGATTCACTTTCCTTATTTGGTTGTTCTTTGTAGCCCCATTTATTTGCATGCATGTTTTACAGGGGAAGCTGCCAGAAGCTCTTTACAAAGTAGATGATCCTGAGGTTAGGCAGTTTATAGAGAAATGCTTAGCAACTGTGTCTCTTAGACTTTCAGTTAAGGAACTCTTGGAGGACCCTTTTCTCCAAATTGATGATTGTGGATCTGACTCTAAAGCACTGGAGTATCAAAGAGATTGCTATGAAGTAACCCCAATAATTAGACAACCTCTTAATGGAATTCACTGCAGTAGCAACACTTCAATGAGTGGGTACACCAATAATAATAATATTGGTGGTTATGGACCTCTATATGAATTGGATTATCATCAAGATGATTTTGAAACAAGGGAAATTGATCTCTTTGAATGTGAAGAGTATGATAGTTTGGCTGAAGTTGACACCTCAATCAAAGGTAGTAGAAGAGAAGATGATGGCATCTTTCTGAGAATCAGAATAGCAGATAAGGAAGGTTTGAATTTCCCATTCTTATTTTTTTCTACAACTTCTCTAGTCTTTGATTATTCCATATTATGTTTTCTGCGTATATAAATTAGCAAACAGACCATATTGACAATGCATTGCTCTCAATAGGTCGAGTTCGAAACATCTACTTCCCATTTGACACTAAGACCGATACAACATTGAGCGTTGCAAATGAAATGGTAGCTGAGCTTGACATAATTAACCAAGATGTAACAGAACTAGCAGATATGATAGATAATGAAATTGAAACCTTGGTCCCAGAGTGGAACAGAGGGTACAGAATAGAGGAAAGTTCAGAATGCACAAGTACAAGTTTCTGCCTCAACTGTGCCACAAACGGTTCCTTATTTGACTATGTGTCTTCCAATAATCCAACTGCCAAGAATCTGAAGTTTCTTCGTTGTTCTAAAAAGGGATGTGCAGCTGTGCACGGCCGATTTGAGGAGATTATGTACCAAGTTGAAGATTCTGAAAATAGCGCTACAGAAGGTGCACCTGCTGCATCAATCCAATCAACTAGCATTCATTATACCAATATCTGGGCTACGCGAGATGAGCCAGAGTTAGTTCCGGAGGGGTTGAAGGAGATACATTGTAAAAAAGCTCATTACGCATCAAACCTATCAAGCATGAAGGAGGATGGGAAAAGTATTGATGTGGATGATCCCAATGATAGAAAGCCTTGTTCTAGCCTGGCATCAAATTGTGTTCTGTCGGGCTATGAGAATGAAATTAGGCAAGAACTAAGATGGCTCAAAGCAAAGTACCAAATGCAGTTAAGAGATTTTAGAGACCAGCAAGTAGAGCATGGGAAGGATGGAGTTGGGAGGGTATCAGTTACATCCCAGTTGAAGTTACATAATAATAATAATAATAAACCATCATTGGGGTCTATGATTCCTGAGAAATGCACCAACATGGCTAATCAATTTATTCAAAATGTTGATGAGACAAGCGGGTCTAACAATCCTGAGCAAATGGTCACAGCAAAGGGTTTCCTTAAAGGAGCTTTGCTTCCTTACTTGCTTCACAGGGCTATCTCTCTTCCTGTTGATGCTGTAGATGTCTAGATTCATAAGTGGACACCACTTTAACCATACTTAAAAAGGTTCCTAGTGAGTAATGAACTAAGTGATATCAGAAATTAGGTGTACATATTTGGAAGATTTCAAGGAACCAAATCTGTGATATGTGTATAGTGTAAAGGTTGCTTGACCACTACACTCTTATTTGCTATTTTGATGGATTGTGGTAAAGATGACCATTGGGTATGTTGTGGTTTCAAATAGAGTTATTGAGTATTGAGCCAATGGGAACATCATTCCAACAACATCCTGAAAGTTGAACAAGCTTACCAGAGTTAGGAAAAATGGAAAAATATATTATTTATTACTAATGGAGTATCAAAAACAGAATAAATGAAAAATGGATGTGTTAGTTCGTGATCACTAAGAAGAAACAATGAAGGATAATATCCCTCACCTACATTCTCTACAGTCAATGGGAATGAAAATTCAGTCACAACCAACTTTACATGCAAGTTAAACCAATATAACAAATAAAAACTCAGATACCCTATATGAGCATCATATAAAAATATATGACCATCATAAAAATATGAACAATAATGGGTATTATATAAAATACATACAAAATATATTTTCAACAAAAAAGAAAGTATATGAGCATCATAAGGCTATATGGAAAGGATCATGAACACACTACATGTTCAAATGGGATGCTAAGAGATGAAGAAATGACATAACTTCACTATATGAATATATATTCACCTTTCTTTATCATAAATAAGTAAAAACCTAAATTGGTCCATAAAATTTTTGTATGACCAAATTGATCCCTGGTAATTTTAAAATTTCAAAATAGTCATTAAAAAATTTTAAAACAAAAATAGAATCATCTAATAATTCCTTAATTTGTCTTAATCCCTATAAATTTTACTCTATCTAATCTAATGCAAATTTTAATGGATAAATTATGATTGCATTGTCAATATAAAATTATTTTAAACCTCTTCATTTTGTTTCTCATAAATTATATCATTACAAAAACAAATTGTGCTCTGAATGAATTTATTTTGTAGGAACACATTGTGTCGGTGTAAAATTTGAGGAAGAATTTGTAACTTTAAAAAACTATCCCAGATTTAGAATTTGTAGTTAAATAACGAACTTCGAATCTCTCTCTAACTTGGTTCTCCGATCAGTTTCCGTTTTGCCCCCAGTTGCGTGATTGATCGGCGTCTTCGACAGAAGTAAGATTCTCCACCATAAATAAAACCAATTTATTCTTAATATTTTATCTGTGTAGATTTGATTTAGGGTTTTCTATGTTGAATTAGGGTGATGTTCCTTTTCCAGATTTAAGGTTTATTAGAATGGAAGCAGATCAGGTGCCCCTTCTGTGTGTTTGATTGTTTGAAATAAAAAGGATAGGGTTCCGGGTTCTTCCACCTCTCCAAAGCTCTATGAATAGAAGAAAATGATGAAAAGGTCTAAGGTGGTGGTTGATTCAAGTGATTCTGAATCAAGTGATGATGAGTTACCCATCCCTCCTGCTGCCAGGCTTGGCCCTGAAACCATCCGAGTCTGTACTGGTTTGACTGCTCTCCAGCGCCGGCATGAGCGTGGTGGTGGCATTGAAATAAGTGGGAAGAGGGAAAGAGTTGAGCAACTTGGTCGCAATGGGGATGGTATGCTTGAGGAGAATAATGGTTTGGAGGGGAAGGAAATGAAACGTAATAAGTTGGATGTGTTTGATTTCAATGAATACGATGTCATGAGTGCTGAAATTATGAGAATGAGGCATTTTGATAATAACGATGTTGATTTTGGAGGAAGAAGAAGGTTCATGGGAGGAATGCATGCTGCTAGAAGTGGCATTCATACGGAATTTGAAAGTGGTTCAAGCAGAAACATTGTTAATAAGAGAAACTACTCCTACAATGACAGGGCAAGCGGGTTATATCTGGGAGATAGTGTTGACCATGGCAGGTTGAAGATGAACAGTGATGGAGCTAAACGACCTGCACCTTTGTTAAGGGGCAAGCTTAATTCAGACGAATCTGTCAAGATTCAGGGGGAAAATGGTGTTCTGAAAGTCATGGTTAATAAAAAGAAGGTGGGTAAGCTACTAGAACACTCTGATCATCACAAATATGTAGAAAGCCGACATAGTTTGAGGACTGAGCGTACTTCCAAGAGGAATGCTCATATCTGTCCTTCGTCACACTTGGAAACAAAACCTGTTGAGAAACATTGCTTACTTGCTAGGCCAAACAAGAAACAGAAAGCAGCAAGAAAGCAGTTGTCATCTATGGACAGTAAGGGTGGTGAGCGGAATTCAGATAATAGTGACATATCACCGTGTCTTGGAATAAAGAACTCTGAAGTTCGCAAGTCTTCAAAGAAGATAATTTCTGAAGATGAACAGTCTCCTAAGCATGAAAAACTGCCGACTACAAAGACAAAAGAGGTAAAAGTCAAGTGTGGTAGTGTTACAGAGAAACAGAAGCTA